CTACCGCCACCACCTTCGAGCCCTGCGCTTCCGCCACCGTTGTTCCCAGCTCTACCGCCAACTCTGAGGCTCCTATCATTACCAGCGCTCCTGTTGTTCCTTCTGGCGAGCCTTCCAGCCAGCCTCCCATCACTATCACCACCACCTCCTCTCCTGTTCAGCCTTCCGGCAACCCCACTGGGCCGTGTGGCGAGGAGAGCTGGGCTTGTGCTCCCGAATACGCTGCCGTGCCTGTGTGCGCTGTTGATATTATTGCCAACGCCGGTGTCTCTCTCGGCTGTGCTGCTGGCGACCACAAATGCGAATGCAGCAAGAGCGCTGAAATTCAGGAGGTGGTTTTCGACGACGTTATTGCCTCCTGCGGCCTCCTCGGTGGTCTCGATGTCATCAAGGCTGTGACNGGTGGTTTTCGACGACGTTATTGCATCATGCGGCCTCCTCGGTGGTCTCGACGTCATCAAGGCGTGTGACTCGCTCTTTGCGAATGCGATGCTGCCAAGCCTACCTTCAAGCCTTGTGATGGCAATGCTGGACCTAGCTCGTCTGTCCCTATCCCCAGCGGCGGTGGCTCTACCACCATCATCACTACCGACATCGTTACTTCGGACTGCTCTACCTCCACCTCTGGCCCCGTCGTTATCCCCTCCACCACTGTCGTTCCCGGTCCTGAGCCCTCCGGCCCTTGTGGCGAGGAGAGCTGGGGATGCGCGGCCGAGTTTGCTGCCGTGCCCCAGTGCGCCGTTCCCATCATTGAGAAGGCCGCTCTCGCTCTTGGCTGTGCTAAGGGCGACCACAAGTGCGAGTGTGCCAACGCCGAGAAGATCCAGGGTGCTATTGCCCTCGACGTTCTGAGCGCCTGTGGAGCATCCAAGATCACCGACGTGCTTTCTTCCGTCGAGGCCCTCTGCAAGTGTGATGCCGCCAAGCCCACCTTCACTCCCTGCGGTGGTTCTTCTGGCCCCGGCCCTACCGCGTCCAACCCCGTCACCGACAGCCCCTCTCCCGGCCCCTCCAGCGTCGTTGTCGTTCCCTCTTCCGTCATCACTTCCAGCCCCGGTACTCAGCCGTCTGGCACCGTCCCTGAGGGTCCTTGCGGCATCGATTCCTGGGAGTGTGCTCCTCTCTTCTCGGCTG